ATTTGCATCAGTTTTTCCTTAAATTCACATTCACATCAAACATCATTTTTGAGTCACTTTTTCGATGAGCGCGAATTTGAAGCAAATATAGACCGCGAAATTCACTTCATATTTGCACCTATGGTGAATCCATTATTTCATGCAGTGTAGATTACCTGAAGTTTATTTGATGTTTTAAACGCGTTATGGTGAAAAGAATCTCTAAACAGACTTTTTTTAAACCTTTGATACCTCTTCAAATATGATGGAAACTCCTTTCGACGCTCGCTTTGTCAATCCTGAAGAGTTAGAACCATAAGTTATAATGTATGAAGATGAAGCCGAACTAGAAGAAGAAGCAATGCTTGGGAAGAGGTTTTCATAAAAATTCCTTACGTTCATTTCATTATTTGTATTTGCTACATACTGTCCATGATATAAAGATCTTTTGAGATCTAAAAATTTGAAGTTTCAATTTAATCTAATAGTGATTGATGTTATGAAAACAACCGATTGCCTTTTGAATTCTGCGTTGTGATATAAAGATTTGTGACAATATACTTAGATCTATGTGYCGAATAATTTAGAATGTGAGCTCGTAATTCTCCTAGCTGATTTACTACAGTTATTATTTGCTTCAAAATGTTTATTATGCATTGAATAGGTATAAACATACGATTATCTAATATCATCTTTGTAATAGAACATGTCAAAGGTTTCTTATTTATTACTCGCGCGACAGCGGCGTCTGTCACTCGGCTCGTAGATTTTTCTTATATTGTGTCGGATGTCTCGCGGACCCAAATTGTGGGGTTGCTCTTTGCCCTTGTATGTAAATATACCTTGAAAAATTGTTATCCTTAAAATGATTCGAATAAATCCCGAATATCTCAGTCACTTCGCGCGATGGAACCGCTAGAATCTCGTCCATGCGTCCTACTTTGTTTTGATTCTTGGCGTGCCGAGATGTATTGAAATTTTCGAATTATGATCGTTAGTATTATTGAAACTGAAAAATTTCAGCGCCTAGACATTGTTTGGTCATATAGTAGTTAGGAAACCGAATRAAACATTATATATTTTCTGAATAAACCAAATAAACCGAGTTTTACGAACATGGCACATACATTACCCACCAATGTTTTGGTTTGGGTTGAGTAAATGACGTCAAAAGTACTCGTGCCAGTCTTCTTGAGTCGAATTCTGTGATTCAAAGAAATTAATGGCGGACGAAAATAAATCGTAAAATTTTGGCCCTTTCCTTTCGAATATCAGAAAGATATTCCAGTGGGTGGTTCTTAATGTATTCAAGATTATTTCAGTAAAGTTCCAGCTCGAATGAAAGAGTTTTAATAGTCCATTTCACGGTTACCTRGACGCCATCTTGGATTTGCACGAAAGCGAGGCTGACCTTGAGTCGTCTGGAAAGGTGTAGCAAGAACGTGTTCGCCAAAATTGATACTTTTAAGTGTCATTTACTTAAAAGARAATTATTATCTGAAACAAGGTTAATTATGCCGATCACCTTTAGGGGAAAACAACTTCTTTCGCTAGAAGATATCCAAGCTCTAAAGGTCAACGAATTGAAAGAGATTCTGCGGTCATATTCAGAGTCATGCTCTGGCGTTAAGGCAGATTTAATTTTGAGAGTTTACGGCAGGGCTGGGCGGGGAAGGCAGAGGTAAATGCAATCATATAGGAGGACTTATTTTTGCGATAGAGGACTTCTCCCGAAAAGACCTACAAAAGCACGAAGAGCCATTGTCCTGTACTTCCCGTCTTTCAACGTGGGTGGTACCGAGGAATCAAAGTGTTGCTGCAAAGCCAGCTGATCAAGTTCTGATYCGAAAAATCCAGTTTGGAAAGAAAAACATTCGTACTACCACAAAAGTTATTCGTCATGACCCCCGAGCAATGCATCAAAGACAGATAAACCAAGAAAGTTTTAATGCTCTTTGTTATGATTTACAAAACTGCCTTCAATCAAGTTCTTTTTTCTTATTTCATGATATCACTTCTTTGTGTCCTTCCAGTGACAGTACTGTACCACCTGAGAGAGAGGATTTCTTAAATTTACCCTTTGGTGATAGCTATGATATCTCAAGCAATGCATTTAAAGAGATGATTGACATACATGTGTCAAATATGACTTTAAATGATAAAGAAATTGAAGAAATAGAAGCTAATACTAGAGGTCAGTCTCAAAATGAAAATTGGAAAAAGAAAAGAAAAGAGTTTTTAACTTCATCAAACTTTGGATCAGCAGCTAAAACACAAGTTGAGCCATCAAAGAAACTTAAAAGCATGAGCTATTCTGATATAAAAACTGAGTCCATGCAATATGGTTTGGAAAATGAAGCTAAAGTAGTATCCACTTACCTTAAAGTAAAAAGTGAACAGGGTCTTGRTCTTGAATCTAAAGAAGCAGGACTTATGATATCAAAAGAAAAGCCATACCTTGGATCAAGCATTGATAGACTGATCATCAACAAAGACACTRGGGAAATATGGGGACTTGAAGTTAAATGTCCAGTGAGTAAGATGGGTAAAACTTTGGATGAAGTCACAAAAGACAAGACATTTTGCTTGCAAAATCATGAAGGTAACGTTCAGTTGAAAAGGAAACATAATTATTATCATCAGGTACAAGGACAAATGTTTGTTCTCAAGCTAGAATATGTTGACTTTGTTATGTACTTTGGAGAGAACATTCCTCTTTATATTGAAAGGATTTATAAAGAAAAGGAATGGGAAGCACACACACTTCCAAAAATAGAATATTTTTACAAGCAAGCATACCTCCCAGAACTACTTACCAGRCKAGTTCAAAGAAACAGCATCCTGTATCAACATGGGGGATGGGAACCCTATAGCACTAAATAATAGAAAAGAGAGATTTTCCTTTGCTTTCAAAAGTAAAAATGACTATTTGGCTTCAGTTAATCAAGACCAAAAACCAATGGGTTTCAGACGTGCTAATAGTTAGCCCATTCTTTCATAATAAAAGGAAAACCACTCTAGCTGTGCCCTAAAACAAGCACAATTATAGTAAACATATAAATGTTTTTKTACATTGTACATACATCTCATAGCTTCTTTTTTCTGCAACAGAACACTCAAACAAGTGTTATCTTAATACTTATATACATGTACATTACATTAATGTTAAATGTTAATAAAGAGTTACTTTTCAGGTATTAATATCAGCTCTTTCTTAAGTTAGCTGGGGGAAGAAGGGGTGGCCAAAAATTTGTCAGTCTGGCACAAACACTGAAGATGTGGTTGATCCATGGTGCCATAGTGTTAGGTAATGTTCCATCCAAAATATGAAATGACTTGATCCTTTGAATAACCCTCTCAACATGAATGCGAACAGATGCAATACGCATTGTTTGTTCTGTCTCAYTTGCCGCCATCTGACTTCTACTCCCAAGAAATGGTGGCATGTTTACTTTTACTCCCAAGGGGACAATGTCATCTATCTCAAAGCCACGATCCACCATGAGGTTGTCTCCTGCCTCTACTAAATTAAGAATACCACATTCTTTGGTGATTTGTTTATCGCTAGCTTTACCACCCCAAGCCTCACTTACAAAGGTCACCTGTCCATTTGGGGATACTCCTACCAACAGTTTCCAGGTATTATGATGTTTGTACTGGGACCAAGTTTGGGACTGCGCAATCATTGCTGATGGTTTTTCTATAAAAACTTCTGTACAGTCTAACACTACTCTGGTGGTGGGATATTTGTTAAACTCTGCAGGCATATTTCTTCTCACAAGGTCTYGAGAAGGGAAAGGAAACAAAAGTTTCAGTTCATGACTTAAAAAGACAATCCAAGTATTACATATGCTTGAAGCTAATGACTGACTAACTCCGAATCTATCAGCAAGATCAGATAAAAACAATCCWACTCTTAATCTGACAAGTACCATGAATAGTTCATTCAAACCATCAAGTTTTCTGGTAGGACCAGGTTTCTTTTTTACATTATTTTCATGATATCTTGTAGACAGCTTTAAATTTTTTTCACCTTTCCAATACTGCAAATTCTGTACTTTAGGCTCAAGATATCTGTAGAAGGCTACTAGTGCATTATGATTTTCAAATCCTGTGTAAAACGAGATTGCGTTATCATCATCTTTATATTTTTCGAGAGAAAAATATTTGCTCTTGTGATACTGACATTCATCGTTTAATGACTGTACTTGTTTCTGAAGTCTATCTACTTGCATCCTCAGCTCTTTTATAAGTTCATCCTGAGAGTTTTCTTGGTAGCTCTAAAGGTAAATTGGAACACTAGTTATTAATCTCCAAAGCTCACAAAGTAAAGTGTGTAAAATTTATTGAGATGTAAGTTACATTGCCATAACACATTTACCTCCATATTATCGATGTTTTCCACTGGAACTTCAACATCCTCTTCGATATTACAACTAGTTACAATATCTTCAGTTCTTTTGTCCAGTGTCTCAACTTCTCTTGATTTAGGAAGTGCTCTTTTGTTGGTATCTTTAGGTTTACTCCATTGATGACCAAGCGATGGTTCCGCGTCTGCATGATGTAGATTTCAAAAACAATAATAAATCTTTTGCTTGATCCGGTTTGCTTATATCACCAAGAAAAAACGCAAGTTTAGTTCTAAGCTTACCTTTTTTTAGTTTCTTGATCCCAGTTAATGTTTTATAAATATCATTTTCCGAAAAATGACTACTGCAAACCACTGTTGACCTCATGATATAGAAACCATCATGGCCGTGCCGTCTCTTCATAAGATTACACCATCGATTTTGCTTTGATTTGTCACTCGGGAAAGAGCAAAAAATTCAAGTCTGGATTCTTATAAAAAGCGTTCGTACAGCCATAGGCAGCACATTGCGGACCTACGCTTTTTCTCTCGTTTTTCAAACGTTTTGAGCTCATTTTTACTTGAACAGTTACCGGAACTACAGTATAAACTTTTCAAGCCTTTCCAGACTACTCAAGGTCAGCCTCGCTTTCGTGCAAATCCAAGATGGCGTCCAGGTAACCGTGAAATGGACTATTTTGGAGCGATTTTCGTCCAAGTGGCCCTTTAAATTAGAGGTAGAGCTTCTCGTATACTCAACCTTCGTTTGTAAAGTTTTGGATCGATTACCTTGCCATCCAGGGTTTAGCTCGATATTACCAGATAGCAACAACAATCTCCTAGCTGCAAACGTATTAAGATAGTACAGAACTTGGGATTTTGATAGTTTTCGCTTCATAGAATGGACAAACCATGTCGCTCTAGAAGGCACAAAAACCATTGTTTCGGCTCCATTGGACAATAGTAGATAAGTACAGATCTTTGTCTTTCAAATTTCATCAAGTCGTATATGGTGAAGTCATCGAATATGGGCGACCAGCGATGCAAACAAAACGTCCCTGAATAAGTGAAGTTTCTATACTTTTCCAATATTTGAGACGATGTCGTCTGTCTCCAGGACATTAAATGTCTATGGGAGACCGCTGGATGCGCTGGACCACCTCCAAAATGACAGAAAGCGAGAAATGCAAGAGCGCTCAAAAGAGCGTGACTTCTTCCCATGACAGCTTGCTCTATCTTGCTCTTGCTCATCTTAAAGATGGCATACAACTTAAAAACATGGGACATCCCTACCACTTTTGTATGGTTTTTCTGTTTTTGACTTTATTCGACTGAATTTCCTCTACGAAATGTCCAAATATAGAAATCACATTGTATTAAACTGTGAAGGTTTTCTTGACAACAAGAAAATTGGTCCCCCCCTCCCCCATTCCCCACTTATTTGATATTTACAATTCATGCGTTAACTGCAGTAATGACAAATTCACTATGTTACATCAGTGACAAAACCCACCTTGTGTCACCCATACAATATCTTGGTCAAAAGCAGTGTTGACTGTGGGTGTTATATACGGAACATTAAATGTAGCCTCTGTGATTGCAACGAAAGTTTAGTCCTCATTAAGAGGGCATATTTGTACCCATTTAGGCTCATTCGAGTTACGACAATTTTCAGACAAAATGAATTTCCTCTCTTCAAGCACTGAAGAATATGCATGTGGCTGATGAATGGCTGGTTACTGCAAATCTGTTTGGCTGGCTGATGGGTGCTTGTGGGCTTGTCATTTGCTCTGTTATTATTATTCTCATGACATGTCCTCAACATATGCATGTAGGATATATACAAAAATGCAATAAGTTACCATTTTACAAAGCCTTTTGCAATTGTTAATTTTATGAATATGTGACGCTGTTCAGAACGGTACTGTTTTTTACTAAGTATTGCGCCTTCCTTCCCAGGGAAAATAAGGGAAACACAGAAGTATTGCTCTAATGAACCACTCTGCATGGAAAACGAACCTTAACGATAAACGATAAACTTAAAGCGCTAAACTAGAAACGTATTATACTAACTTATTGTACTAACTTATTATACTTGATTCCGAGTTCTGGTTCGATGCTCAATGTTCAATGTTCAATAACTCGGGGAGGAAAGCATAACTTTTTCTTTGTAAGACTGGCTTAACAACCCAGCGCTTGTACATCTTAGAAAGCCCTTGCAACAGCGAGGTTCTCTACTCATTGGGCCTTTTTGAACAACTGCTTGAATTCTGTGTTGAAATTGTTGTCAGTGGCAGCAAGTTGATTACGAGCAACCATTCCCCTTAAGAGAAGTGCTCTCTTTTTGAGCAACACTGGAGTATCATCGAATGGTACACTTCCCGGCCTCCTGTGTGGCAAAAGTCAGTCAATCTTGCCAAGCATTAAGTAGCTTTGGTTGAAAGACAACTTCTTCTTAGGCCACATGAGCTGGTGACCATGGCTTGATCCAACATGTGATAGGCACAATTGTGATGGGTTAGGCGAGGATGGGCACACTTTTTGGAAATCTCTGCATCGTTACAGGAATGCTTTTTCACGCAATGGTGAAGAACAGATTTCCACTTTTCTCTCAAAAGTTGCACATCCCCATTGCACGTAGCAGCACACCACCAAAGATGGACGAAAATGAAATGGAATGAGTGCCAGTTCTTAGTATTTTAATTTTGCTAATTGTAGTGGGAACTTTTTTTCGAAAATAAAACAGTATCTCGATGAGAAAAATCCAAATTGAACAGCTCTGGTCTTCATCGTGCTTAGTTTAAAACCATCCATAACAATAAGTCAGGCCTCATGTCTCCATCTGACAATATTGCGTTATTGGTCACAGGAAACGCAGTTCTTGAGTTTGAAACTTAACTAAGGCGGTAGCCAAGTAAGATAATTATTTTCATGTACTAGTGCACGAGCATTCTGACACTAAACCAGCAACTAATTTGATGTAAGGTGCCTATCGTCTTTCTGGAAGCTTTTCAACATCGAGATCGAAATTGCTACAAATCAACCGCAGCATAGCAATATTTAAATTGTTGATCCTATTTTTGCGTACATTTCACAACTATCATGAGTATAATATGTCATTGGGTGAATAAGCTGGCATTCTTGTACAACAACGGAACGTTTGTCGTAGTAGGAGACCTGGTCCTCAACCGCGTCGTCATCGTCAAATACGACTGAATTTGTTGAGATGTAAGGATTTCGTTGATGGTGAATTTTCCAAGACCAAATTCATTCTTGGCATGTCTTATATCTTGATAAACTTGCTAAGGATCTGCTTTGTGGCCTGTTTCCTTACCAATTTTGAATTTTTCGTCAAGGTACTTTTTTTTGGGCTCCCTGAATCAAGAACATTTCTTTGTTGTCTTTAACGCCCATCCCATAGTCATGTTCCTCTGCATCTTGTTTGGGTACTGCTGGGCCAGCAATCGAGGATTGTGTTCCTGATCCCTCTTGAAGCTTTTCCGCATAAAGTATTTTTGCTTCGTCTAAAAGATTAAATCTTCCTTTGTAATTGTATCACGAGTGTCAAAAAAAATTTCCATTGGAAAGGGGAATTTCGGAAAGACACGGTTTCAAGACCCTTTCAACTGAAACATATAAGTAAAAAATCATTTTAATCTATGAAATTAATATAAGCATTTTGGTCGTCATCCTTCTTTGCTAAACCAAATAGAACGTCAAATGTCTAGAATGTCTTAAGTTGAGATCTGTGATGCGAATAAAAATAGATCAGCTACCTTAACCCTCTCCCTCCCTACTTTAAAAGTGGCAACTTTCTTCAAACATCAAAATGTGAGTACCAGTATGATATTCAATGTGATGCCTATACTTCTATTGTGTTAATGATTGCAAGCCATTTATCGTAACTAATTTCCAATGACCTTCATGCACTGGGAAATCAGGAGTAAATAACTATTACTAATGCTTCTTAATAATTGTACTGGAAGTATAATTCTTCATATCTATAAGTAGAACACATCGTTCATTGTTTGATGCATTGTGCCATAAAAAATCAAACCGTTGTAAATATACTGTAATAAGTAAGACTCTTGTCTTACTGTTACATGRTATTTTATTCCATAACAATATTACTAACAATATTAACAATATTACTTTTTCTTTTTAGGAAAAGCTATTTCCAGCGATTCATCTGTTTTGGAAATCATACCAAGAAAATGTTTTGGAGAAATTGAAATCACTTGCTACCCCTCTTGTGATTGCTGGTGACGCTCGCCATGACAGCATGGGCCACAGTGCCAAATATGGAGCTTACACCGTGTTTTYTTGTACTATTCCTCTGATCATCGCCTTTTCACTTGTTCAGGTAGGTAGCATTAGCAAATCAGCAATATACAGTGTTTTAATGCCCTTGATTTTTAGCACTTAATGGCCTGTGGCTGACAAACTTGTGCCCCTCATTCCATTACTGAATTGGAATTTAGAGGTTGATTTTTGCCCTTCCAAGTCATAAAATTTAG